CCCCGATATTTATCTCGGTGCTAGATTCCAGTGATTTGTGTGACTGACTATCAGAATACATGCAGAAAATGTTCTGATAAATGATACAATGGGCTGTTGCCTTTTCCTTGCCTTAACACTGGTTAAGCTTATGTTTTCTTTGGTCATTCACATTACCTATTTGAAACATAGTTGTCTTAAATATTCTACTAAAGTTTTGGTAGTGCCACTTTAACATGAGCAGAAGAAAATACACAGCTTTGTAAGGACGGTGGTGTTAACATAAAACAGCCACTTACAACGTGGGAAACTTACAGCTCAACTTTTACGTTGATGTCATTACTGTCACAGTGCAAATCCTTTCCAAATTTATTGATTTGAATAGTAGCTAAAACACAAGAGTATTTTTGGTTGCAGATGGTGATCCCAAACTAGCGCTGAAAGTATTCTGCATTACCTTCAAAGAACTTGGCTAGGTTTCAGAGGAGCCACAAAGATCACGTTCTCCATAGTAATGATGATAGAGATGAATAAATTATTTTATCTCCAGCAGTCTGGGATTTTTCTCACTTGTGAGTTTTGTCCCAGCCACTTTCAGATGACTTGATGTGTTCTTTCCTGGGAAAATCTCAGTTTAAACAGTGTTTGCTGTGCAGTATAAACTTTTAACCCCAGACTTCTCTCCCTACTAGTTCTGTAGGCTAGCCAGATATTTTTTTAAATAGGCACTAAATGTATGTGTTCCCTGCATGCAATATGTTGTCATACTTGCATAGCAATTAGTTCATGTAGCAGTGTTTGTATATTGTTTCAAGTCTGTTCTTTTGTCTTTAACATGTTACTGTGTGAGCTTTCTGAACTCTAAATGTATATGGCATCTAGTGTAGTAATGTTCTGATTAAAATTAATTTAAAGATGAACTCCTCATTTACTTGAGGGACCTCAGTCTTCACTTTTCTTACTATTGGATTAAAAATGGGAAAGATGCCCTGAATTAACCAGGGGTTGGCTCCCTTGGCAACAATATCAAACCTCAGAACATTTCAGTGAGCTGTGCTGTGCTTTACTGTATTTGTTCTTTCCATGGAAAAATGTTGCTGGGTAAAGGCAAAGCCTTGTCATCAAGCTGTAGCAGGAATTGACATCCATGGAAGGGGAAAAGGGAAATCCCTGAAATTGTATGCCTCCTTCATCCTGCTGTTTGGATGCCTGTCATTGCTAGATGCTTTTCCTTAGTTGTCAAGACTAACTCCCGAAGTACAACGCCCTTTCCTGCTCTGTGCACTGCACACTGAGGAAAACAAGTTCCACAATTGGTGATTCTCAAGTGAAAGTCCCATAGCTTGAGTCCCCAGGTACATACTGGTACATGAGAACACTACCTCCATCTGTGCAAGATTGTAGTAGTGCTTAGGAAGAGGAATCTTTCCCTGTTTCTCCATCTGTGATGGTCTTTCAGGATACAATACTCTAACCTGCACTGGAAAGCAAATAATCCAATTGCTCCGAGACAGCTGGCACTAGGGCTTGAAGATTTTCTATATTGTGCCTTTTAAATCTATCCTAATACATCCTAAATGTATTGTGAAGTGAATATAAAATAATTTAGGTTTACTTTTTGAATTTGAGCTCTTTTCTAGGTGCAGAAGAATAACAAATGAGAGAGGAACTTAGTTAGGACAGATCATGTTTACAGCTTGCTTCTGTTGGAGAGGACTAGGTGCACCAAAATGAAATACATACCAAAAGAAATAATTCAGTGCCTATTGAATTTTAAAACATGTATATTTATAAGTTTGTTATAATTGAAACAAACAAGCAAAAACCTCCCAAAAACCCCACCACCCCAACAAATCAAGTATAAACCATTGTTTTAGGTTTCCTGGAACACTTTGGGGAAATGAAATGCAGTAGTTGGCTGATTACATCCTAAGTGAAACACGCTAACAGAGCTACGTAGAAGGCGTTCACTTGCCTAGCCAGTGAAGACCACTTAATTTGTATCTGGAAGATGATTTTCATTACTAAACTTGGAAGGTCATAGTACTTACATCTGTTCTGCTTGTCAGTGGGTTTTGAAATGAGGAGGAGCTCTCATGGGCCCTTTTGCTGTGTGCCCCCACCCCCTGTTGAAAAATGAACTCTCCTTACTAGAGAGAAAGAAAAAGTGGCATGAAAAATTAAATAGGCAAGAGATGCGCTCAGTGCAAGACGATCCAAGTGGCAAGTCTTGATTGCATTATTTAACAACACAATCTGGAATGCTACAGAGTTTCACGTTTTAGTCTGTATTTCACTATAGCATTTCATGTTTGTGCATGAACTGCTGCCAGTCAACTGGTGCTTACCTGTCTGCTCTTTTTCCTCATTTTTTTTGTCTTCATTTCTTACAGCAGTCTTCAGCAGCTTTCAAAATTATAAATGTGACCTTTGTGATGTTCTGAAAAGTGCTGGCCACCTCTACTCAATGCCTAATCAGTGTGGTGCTCTTATACTTACTTTTTTTTTAAAAAGGAGTGACCCGCTTTTTTTTTTTGCACCCATGCTAATTCTTGATGGCTCTCAAAATATCACAGTTAAATTGTTGCAAGGTCTATATATAGTCATATTTGCTAATAATGCCCACTCTCTATGCATTAAACCATAAAAATAAGAAGTATTATGCAAAAATTACAGCAAAATCCAGACAGGCAATGCATATGAAACTTACTGTCTCCTCATACAAACTTTGTTCTCCAATTGTTTTTTCTAGTATGTAACAGTAGGACATTGTGGGTTTGGTTTTGTTTTTTTGGGTTTTTTTTTTCTTAATGTAAGTATGTACCTAACTTCCATGACTGTTAGTGGGAGTTATACATATGGATCATGGAAAAAGCACTTTTAAAAAGACATTTTCAAGACCCTTTAAACTGCACAAAATCATAAGGCTATATTGTCCATAGATAGCTTTTTTTTGTCCCTGTAAAAAAGAATCTGTTGTTAATACTCTGACTCTTAGCATTGGAAATCCTGGATTAAAATATCCTGTTATTTATTTCATAACATTTTGCCCATGTAAACAGAGAAGTGTTGGGCTTTTTTTTTTTTTTTTTGTAAGCTTCAGTAGCAGCTTCAGTAACTAACTAATTTTTTTTCTTTATATCACTCTAAAAGGATCTAACCTTATAGCTTAGCTTCAATCAGAATTTTAGAAGAAAAATTATCTCATATCAGGTAAACCAGGTCTGAGATATTTGTACTAGGTGATTATTTTTAAAGGTTGAAGCCTTTCATTGTTTATTCTCAAAACATACATCTTATTGAATGACTTTTCTTTAAACATATGTGTAGCTTTTTTGAAATGATGAACAAATACAGTTTTGGAAAGTGTTTAGCCAATTATAAAAAAAACTGGGAGTCAACATGTATCCTAAAAAGAGCGGGGACGGGGGGGAAAAAAAAAGAACAAGTTTACATTAGATCTTTTTGATCTCAACTCTGATTTTGCAATTAGCCCAATAAGGAATATGTTTTGAGAATTAAATATATTTAGAAGTAAAAGATATGATTCTTTTCCCAACCAGTAAAACGGGAGGCAGGGAAGATGGAAAATAATCTGATGCAGTGTTTCTAGTTAACAATAGACAGCAACACCTGCAGTAACATCTGTAGTGAGCGTGTCTTTTGAGTGCTTACCTAAGTCTCTTCCGTTGAGCTTGTACTGCACTCATAAGGTGAGATTGATATGATAGTCATAAAGGTGACTTGTTAGGATTTCTTCTCCCAACTCAATTTTAAATAAGTCAGGAAGGATAGATTCCAAGTGGGGATGCTAAATTAAGCTAAAAGACTACTAAAATGAATACAATTACTCTCTTGGAGTTCCTCATACATTGTAGTGGCTCTCCAGAGAAGGAAAATTCTTGATGAGTTGCTGCATGAAGAATTTGTCCCATAGGTGATGGTGTGCCTATTGAATTCCACATTGTTGTTAAAAACATATATATATATTTAATATGTTCTGCTGTTTAGATGCCCAACCTACAGAATCTGAAAAGGAAATTTATAATCAGGTGAATGTAGTGTTAAAGGATGCAGAAGGAATACTGGAAGACTTGCAGTCATATAGAGGAGCTGGCCATGAAATACGAGAGGTGAGCTCAAGCATTATGATTGTGCACAACCTGTGGTTGTTCATTGTCTGATCCTAACCAAATATTGCTGGATTTTAACTTTGCTTGCAGGAGCTGTTTTGGCAGAGCATGTTGTCAATTAAAATTGCTGTCTTGAATGTCTGCTCTGGAATGTTCCTTTTTAATAATAAAACAGATGTCGTTTGTTTCAGTAATATTAATGCACATACGTAATAGCAAATGATGCTCCTCAAACTTTTTATGGAATTGTTGTCATTGGTTTTTCTTTATATTCCCACAGAAGCTGCTCTTGAGTTAGTGGTGAATTTGGAAAGAGTGTGGCACTACTACAATGCAATATTGAGTAGTGTTGACATCTTTTTGTACGCTAATTGGAGAAGTCTGATGTGTGGTAATCCTAACACAAAAGACATCTCATTTTCAATCCCTTTTAACTGTCTTTTGTTTACTAAAGTAGATGTTTGGAACAGGAGCAAAGTTTCTTTACAGCGTGTCACTCCATTTTTCCTTTACCTTTAAGAAAGGGTTGACTAAGTACTCTCTCAACCCCCTTCCCTTCTTCCTCAGATGCAGCAATGGGGTTACTTTGCTCCTAAAGTGAGGAGTTACTGTAACGTACTCTTAAGAAGTCCTAGTACATAAGAGGAGTATCTGCTCATTCTACATGAATTTGAGATGCTCAGAGCCATTCAGCTTTAAAGTACCATGAGGTTTTATTCAGTCTCTGTTGCATTCATAAGGTAGGCTTAAGGAGGGTGACTGTGTCACACAAAACCCTTAGGAGGGGAGATAGCTTATTTGTTCTTCAAGGAAGGAGCATGTTCAGGGAGCAGCTGTAGGATCTGGCAGGAATGTGTGTCTCGGCAACGAAGTCTGCAGCTCCCATGGAGAAGGAAGAGAGACGCTCCTGAGAGGAGATAGACATCGCAGGAAGGAAGCTTCCTAGGGACCAGAGAGGAGTGTGCTGCAACTCACAGCCCAGGGTTGACTGAGGCAGGTTTTGGAATCAAGGAGTTGACTGAAGATGCAGCAAGAGAGTTATGAGCATTTTTATTTCTGTTTTCTTAGTAATTTTCAGTTGCTAAGTAGTCTAGTTTCTATCTTAAAAACCTGGAGAGACTGAATTTAAGGCTTTATCTGTCTGGGAAACTTACTGTAAAGATAAGGTCTATGCATATATACCTCAAACTCTCGTATACACCATGTTTTGGTGGTGCTTTATGTTGTTGATTATGCTTAAATGTTCCTACTGTAATATTTAGCCTGAATTTCACAGCAAATTTGCTTCATTCTTTTTTTTATTTGCAAATTCAGAAATTGGTGACAGGTACCAACATTAGGATGAGGCTTTGGTCACTAAACTTTTTTGCTTGGAGGTACCCCAATAAAGTTGTTAATTTTAATTAACTATATGTGGTTATGTAAACTTTCTTATTTGAGTAGATTTATTTTTAACAATTTTTTTTTATAGTCTGTACAAGTTGTTTTCCTATTCAGGTTACTTATTTTCAACACAAGTATTTAGAGCTTTTTGAAACAGACATGGGTTAGTACAGGCTTGTCTCCCAACTGGAAACTTCTAAGGAGGCAGAACTTTTCATTATTAGCTCCTCAAATAATTGCCCTGCATAAATATTTTTTGGTTTTTCCCCAGTAGCGTATCAGTTATTCTTAATCTAAGCACACTATTTCCCTCTTTTTTCTGATTTAAGGCAATACAGCATCCCAATGATGAGAAGCTGCAAGAGAAGGCATGGGGTGCAGTTGTTCCACTAGTAGGCAAACTAAAGAAATTCTATGAATTTTCTCAAAGACTAGGTAAGTGGAATGATATTAACTTGGGACTTACTGTCTTCATTAATTAGTACATTTGGCATATTCAGATGTCATCACATCTAGGCCAACCCCTTGTTGGTAGATAAAAGCTCGTATTGCATAGATTCCTTCCATACACTGGATTGGATCTTATTTATATCTGTGTACTACTGTCTTGCATGTGAAAGCAAACTTGCTTCAGTGGATACCTGAGAGGCGAGAGAGAATGGGAGCATACTTGTCATCCTCTTTCTCTACCCCTTTAGTAACTATGGAAAGCACTAATGAGCTGACTGTTTTGAAAATTAGTGAACTAATTCATTGGGATGAATTCTGTTAATGCTTCTGATACCAAGAGTAATTAAAAGTGACTGTAGTATTCCCCCGCAAACACCAGAAATAACTTGGTCTGTGGAAGTGCCTGATCTTGGTTCATGCAGGTGCAATACTTAGAATAGCACTTCATGTCTCTTAGAAAACCAGCTTGACTGATGTTGTGTCTAAGCTGATAAAACGTATTAGGCTTGATTTGTTCTTTTACAAACTGTCTAAAAGTGAGGTAACAACAGATAGAGTTACTAGCATAGCTCATGAAAAAATGAGTTTAAAAAAATGGAAGTTTTTTGCAGGCAAGTTCTGCTTTGTTAAAGAGGTGAAGTATTTTTCTCAAGATGATGTGCAGGAACTTGGATTATAACTTAAAAACAAATAAAACATTACTTTTGCTGATCAGTACGTACATCTTGAATTCTGTGTTATCTTAAAGGCTGCAGTCTGCTAACACAGGTTATTGAAATATGTTTTACACAAATGTTGCAGACAAAGCTTGACTAAAACTTTTCAAGAAGTTTTCAAGGCTGTCAGTGCTGATTAGACCTAGTCCTTACAGCAGTTTGTAAGTAAATAGGATAACAGTGGCACATAAAAGCAATTCATCAGGGCCTGTTGTTATTATATTAGCGTATGTGTATTAAGTCTAGCATGCAGAATATCAGTCAATAGAGACAGAAGAAGCAGATGCAGTTGTATATTGCAAAATATTCTCCTCTCATTTAAGAGGCAGGATTACGAGGTCTGTTGGGAGCCCTGACAAGCACTCCATATTCACCAACGCAACACCTGGAGCGAGAGCAGGCTCTTGCTAAGCAGTTTGCAGAAATTCTTCACTTCACGCTCCGGTTTGATGAGCTCAAGGTAAGAATTTGTTGTAATTTTGTAAGCACAAAAGCTAGCAAAAAGAAAACAAATCTATTTACTGAAGCAATCTGGGTTGCGTACTGTTCTAGGATAGGGCATGCAGTAGATATTTGAGTATCTACTTATGCTCAGCTTGTTCACGTGACCTAGAGTTAGATTAAACTGGAAAGCAGATGAAATACCATATTAGCTTTAGGCAGTTGTTACGTTTCAGTTCATATTAATCATGTTTCTTTGTCTGAATTGCATATCTCTTGGGATAATGCTGCTGCTGCTTTTAGTATGTGCACACCCATAGTCCAGCTATTTTCTTGCTAATGTGCAAAGAACTAAGCTGAAATGATAGTAATTTGCTGGTCTGATCCTTGGAGTCAAACTACCAAAGCCATTTTTTTCAACCTACTCATTTCAAACTCCTATTTAGGAGACTACTCCTTTTCTTGTTCTTGTTAGATCTTGTTCTGAAAAATCTGAGAATTTAACCAGAAAGCTTTATATTCTACATACCTCTTCCCAACATGGCACAGGCCTTTTTACTTCAGAAGGGTGAATATTTTCTTGTTCTCAGTATTACATTTTAAGAAAACTTGTCCTTACATTTTTCTTGAGTTTGTCACAACTCTTTTGCTTCCATATCTATATAGATGACAAATCCTGCTATACAGAATGACTTCAGCTACTACAGAAGAACTCTGAGCCGTATGAGGATTAACAATGTCCCAGTAGGTAACCCTTGGATGAGATGAAACATAATCTTACACTACTACCTATCTCTTTCATGTACAGAACAACTACATTCTTTTTTCCTTCTGTTTTATAGGCAGAGGGAGAAAATGAAGTAAATAACGAGTTGGCAAACAGAATGTCTTTATTTTACGCTGAAGCAACGCCAATGTTGAAAACCTTAAGTGATGCTACAACAAAGTTTGTGTCAGAGGTAAGAGTAGATGTATGGCTTGGATAGCGTACTTTAAAGCACTGCAGGACCAGACATCATTTTGGAACACTAAACTCTTCTACCAGGTTTAATCTGGCATCTAGAAATCAAGGTTGGTTTTTTGGAACCTCAAGAAACATTAAGTATCTTTCTCACATGCTGTAGAGGTTAGAGTAAGTTCAGCTATCCACCTTGTGGATGCGTCACAAAACGTTAATGGATAGCATTACAACATCGGTAGTGATAGCTTTCTTCAGGGAGTGAGGTGGGAGAGGTAAGTATGTTGCCTGCATTTTGGTGGTGGTTTAGAGCAGAAATTTCAGAAAATTGAAAGGGAAACAGCTTGTTTCTCTATGCTTGAAATAGGAAGCTACGTTTCAGTTCCGTTCCCTTTTCTCCTTCCCAAGACACTTTTTGTTTCACTGTGGGAAGTCAAGTATACTTATATTATTGCAGAAGAGGGGAGGAACCTGAACTGGAAAAGTATTCCAACATTGATGCATCCCTATTTATCTTTAACTGCCTAAATAAATATTAGTGGTAAAATACAGTCACTACAAGTATTGTGCTTGTCTTCTGATAACTGTGATGATTTTTGTCTTATGTGCAAAGAATGTATACTATTAATAACACATAATTGTATGTTACATGATTAATGCGAAGATACATTTGTCTTTTAATATTTTTTCCTAAGTTCTGCTTTACACTTGAAACGCCTTAAGAAAAAATGGCCTCTTATTTCATATTTCTTTCAGATGTTTGTCTGCAACAATTTTAAGTCTTACTATTGCAGCAGATGCATGTATTTGGCTATAGAAATTTCTGTCTTTAAAGAGCAGGTTAGATGATTCCTTTAGAACTTCCCCAAAGTCAGTAGTGTCAATGGTGTATTTATTTAACTACAAACAAGCAAGCAAAACCCATACAGTAGACTTTGCTCTGTAAGTCGCTAATCTCTATTGTAACATTTTTAAAAAACAGTGCGAGGCTACCTGCCTTGCCATAGTTGTGTTGATGTTTTAATTCCTTCACATTGCCATGCCAGCAGACCACTGATTTGATTTAGGTTTTGTAGTATAATATTTCACAATAATTGAATTGGAAACTGTTTATCTTCTTCTGCAGAATAAAAATTTACCAATAGAGAATACTACAGATTGCTTAAGCACCATGGCTAGTGTGTGCAGGGTCATGCTGGAAACCCCGTGAGTATAAACAGCGCTTGTATTGTGTATGAATCGTCTCTGTATTTAAAACATGACTTGTGATGCATAAGGTAAAAGAAATATAATTGGGGTAATTAGGAGCTATGGTGTTTTCTTTTTACCAACTTAGGTGTTTACCTTGACATGAAACTAACTTGTTTCATTTTGCTAGCCATGCAAATCATGTGGTCTACTTTCTGAACAAATTAATTTTTAAAAATAGAATGGCTATGAAAGCCAGACAGCCTCTTGGTGCTCTTTATAAATGGTTTTCTCATGTATAATTCAGGAAAATATACTGTTCGAGCATGATTGCCTAGGGCCTCTTTCAAGAGGGGTTATGGACAATGCATTGGATGGTACCTCCTTGCAGGCTGGCTTGGCTGATGGCAAAATTACAGCGCCCCTGTCTGGGGAATTGTGAGATGACTTTTAGGCATGAAGGCAAGCTGTTGTCAACTGTAAATGTGAGAGGCACTGGGAGTACAAACAAAAAGTCAAACTAAACTTTGGGGTTTTTACCTGTTTCTTCTGGGTTCTAAATAGTTTCACATTGGTAAAATTATTCAGGCATGAGGTATGTCTTATTTTAAGTAAGTTTCTGTCCAAATACCACAGTACTTTTGTTTTGGAGCACATTAGGAGCTCAATACATTTATTTTCTTACCCTTCTTAGGAATGGTCTGTCCCATTCAAGAAAGTAGTTAAGTGTTGTTCTAATGAACAGAAAAGCAGCTTGCTTTTTTTTGCCCTTATTTCCACCACACCCCCACCCCCCCTGTATCAGAAGCTTGGGTTGCGTGTATATTAGAGGGTGGCAGGAAGCACTAAAAGCAAAGTTAGTATGTATTGGTTTAATCTTTTCTTTTTTTCCTGGGAAAAAAAAAAAAGTATACCTGAAATGGTGTAGCAACAGGGCACTATTTTAGGTTTGAGAGTCTTTGTTAATCTCCAGATAACTCTTTCTCAGCAGCGGTTTGACTTGTAGGCAGGTTATTGAAAGGAAAAAGGAAAACTCTGAAAAGTTTGTGAGGTTGGTGGGTTTGGGGGTTTTTGTTTGGTTTGTTTTGGTTGTGGGTTTTTTTTCCTCTGAGGATTTGTAGCAGGATTTTTCTCTCTAACCTTATTTCGGGCATTACTAGTATGTACTCTTACCTTGTATTTGATAGATAATAATCTGTGTTTTTAAATTACAGTGAATATAGAAGCAGGTTTACAAATGAGGAAACAGTATCATTCTGTCTGAGGGTAATGGTGGGTGTCATCATACTCTATGACCATGTGCATCCGGTGGGTGCTTTTGCCAAAACTTCAAAAATTGATGTAAGTTTATTGTTACTAAATAAACCTTTGAGTATTTAAGTTGTGTATAGGCTCCTTTTGTGTCCTTGTTTAATATCTTTATCAGTGATCTGGATGAGGGGATTGAGTGCGCCATCAGTGAGTTTACAGATGACACTAAGTTGGGTGGGAGTGTCGATCTGCTGGAGGGTAGGATGGCCCTGCAGAGGGACCTGGACAGGCTGGACCGATGGGCCGAGGCCAACTGTACAAGGTTTAACAAGGCCAAGTGCCGGGTCCTGCACTTGGGTCACAACAACCCCATGCAACACTACAGGCTTGGGGAAGAGTGGCTGGAAAGCTGCCTCATGGAAAAGGACCTGGGGGTGTTGGTCGACAGCCGGCTGAACATGAGCCAGCAGTGTGCCCGGGTGGCCAAGAAGGCCAACAGCATCCTGGCTTGTATCAGGAATAGTGTGGCCAGCAGGAGCAGGGAGGTGATCGTCCACCTGTACTTAGCACTGGTGAGGTCGCACCTGGAATACTGTGTCCAGTTTT